TAACACCCCTGCACTGGCTACAAAGAAAAGGGAGGGAGGAATCCATGTTGAAATGTACCTGGCTTCCAGGTACAGCTGCTGGCATTTACATATGCAAGCTTCCAGCTTGCTTATCTATGCTTGCTTGCAGCTCGATTTTTCAGGCTGTTCTTTGTTAGAAAAGAAATGGTTTGGGGGCTGCTTTTTATTGAAGGAAAATTCCACTGAGAACTCTTTTACTGTCACTAACTGCCTAAAATAATGTCTTTTTAACTCCTATATTATTATGGGAAGAGAATTATTAACAAAGTCAGAAATTAATGTTAATTACATTTCCACTGTCATTCATAATCGTTGGCTTAATATAAGGTATTCCTGTTTTATAAATGACCATCGCCTACTATTTAATAAGCATAAAAAAGCAGTTTCATATTTCTTATGAAATTTTCAGCTATGGTTAATTTTATTTCATAATGTGAGTTTTAAAGAACATAACTAAGCTAACAATATATTCTACAATAGAATTAGAGAGTAGTGCCAACACTACCTTGTAAATTTGATTTTGTTTTGTTTCCAAACAAGTTCTATCTGTAGCTAATATTTATGTTTTAGAAAGTTACATTTTAATAATGCAAAGTTACTCAATCAGTGAGTATGCATCGGAATTTTAATCCCCGTTCTAGAAAGACCCCAAACTAGTTTGTGACTACCGATTAAAATTTATAGCTCTCAGTGATTGTCATATGGCTGGTCACAGTATAAAATAATTATTTGTTCCAGAGGCCACTGCACGGTTCCTGCATTTTCTCCTCTTATATTTTCTCTCTCTTCCTCAACCAGTCTGACCTTTGGCCTTTCACCTTCTCTATATAACAAAACATAATAGGATAATCAATAACTGTCTAGTTTTTGTGTTAGATTACTAGTCATAGGCAGAAGAGATGAGGTCATCCTACAGAAACATAGCTTCAGGGAATCTGGTCCTATTGAAAAATGAGCAGAGAGTACTCAAGGAAGAGTGGGCATACAGATAATCTAATATATTGCAGAATTTTACTAAAATCTTCCTAGAATAAGATATAAAGCCCATGAAATAAGCTATAGCAGAACAAAACTTCAACTCATGGCCACATTTGATAAATTCAGCAAGCAATCCTTTTCTTCCATTTCTTTATGTAGAAGAATTGAAAATACATGGATAGATTAAACATAGAGACACAGAAGCAGGTTAGTAAGTTTGGATATATTCACAGTCCACCTTTTAAAGAGTCATTTTGATATTATTAACTAAAATTATAATCATTCTGTATAAGAAAGAGGTGAAGATTTATTCATGTTGAACAATGCATTTCAAAGCATTCTGGATTTTAACATCCTTGGTTGAGCATCTATCATAGGAATTATTAAGCAAGATAGATGGTTCAACAATTGGAAAAAAAAGACACCCTTAAATACCTCCTGGAAGAGGAGGACTTGAAGAACTTCTAACAACTCTGCTGCTATTCAAAATATACTTAGGGTTTTCAAATAATGTGCCATAAGAACATGAATATGAACAGGTTAACTACAAATAAGGTAATAAACATAATCCCTCATTATGTAGGAAATTGAATAAACTTTTGGGGAAAAACAATGACCAGTACTCCATAAATAATATTTAGTAGAATATCAATATCTCAAATTATAAATACATATTCTAAGGTACAGGTGTTTTATAGTTTAAGTGTTTTAACATTAAATAAGAAGTAATGTCTGCCCACCTATGTATTAAAAGAAAATCTTCAAAGATAAAGTTATAGCAACAAATTAAATTTTAAAACTTCGGCATTTGACAAATTTATCTGTTCAGAGGAATTATTTTTTTCAAATTTTCTATTAAAATCCCAATGGATCAATGTTTCATTACATGTAGTTTAAGTATTCTGAACTTTTAAAAGGTAGGTGTGTTTTTACTATTAACTCTGCCTACGAGCTTGTTAAAGATGCTGTGGCAAAGAGCTGTCAAATCTTTTAAAGGAAAAGAGCACTGGCCTCATCAAGAAACATGGCTCTACCACTGAATTATTATATAATCTTTTTTTCTTCCCGACTTGTATCTTAAGTTCAAGGGGTACATGTATACGTTTGTTATCTGGGTAAATGGTGTGTTGTTGGGGTTTGGTGTACAGATAATTTTGTAAACCGGGTAATCAGCATAATACCTGATAGTAATTTTTCAATCCTCATCATCCTCTCACTGTCTACCCTCAAGTAGGCCACAGTATCTATTGTTCCCTTGTGTAATTTTAGACAAATCAAATTTTTACAGACTTAATTCATCTAACTGTTAAATGGGAGTTTGGGGATGTTCAAATAAAAATGATATCTAGCTCATAACAATTTCTCCTCTACCATTTTTATATTAAAACAACAAAACAAAACTGACAGGAATGCAAAATTGTAATTAGTCATCTTATTTTTATATAAAACAAACTTTCTACTTTATAAAATGAAGGCATTCTACTAAGTGGTTTCTAGAGTCTTTTTATAGCCATGATACTAAAAGAAACAAAACACAACAAAAACTTGTTGATTATAAAAATCTTTAATGCTTAGGGAATAGAGAGATGTCCATTAGTCTAGTATGGAATCAAGCTGTAAATTATGCTTCTTGCATCCTTTAAGACTTTTTTGAAGTGCGTCATTTTCCACTTAAAAAAAAAGAAAAAAGACACCAAATTTCTTTAAAGACATCTTTGAATGTAAAAACATCATTATTTTATGCACCATGAGTAAAGAAAAAACATCTCCAGTTAAACAAAATAATACAATTAACTGAAAGATGCATCCCTATTTCAAAGATGTTAAAATGTGGGGAAAATGTGCTACTTAGAACAATGGACAAATATGCATACATATAATTGGAGGAAAAAAAAAACTGAAACAGTTTTCTTTGAACTCTGTAACACCTCTTAACAACAAGTTTTTTTGCAAAGCCACTTTCTCAAGGAGCCATTATAATATTCTTACTGTTTGAAAAGACTTAAAAACAGTATTTTAAATAAGGTCAACTATTCATTGGTATCAACCTTAAAACATTTATATTCAGCTAAAACTCCTAATCCTGTCATTTAGAAAATGAAAAAGTGGTATAATTCTCTTCAAAATACAATATCTAATGTCTGAAGAGTCCGATGATGAGTGGCTCCTGTTGTGCTAGGTAAAACTACAAATGCAATTTTACAAAATCTAACAGTTATAATAACAAAGTCAAATCATTGACTTTATATCTATACTTAGCTCTCAGACAACTGAAAATTCATTCAAGTTGATCAAAGAAACTGATAGTTAGCTACCATGATGTCAAAAGACTTCTCTTTTCAAAGTAAAGACCAAATTAATTTAAATTGCTATAGATTAACAAATATTTATATGGCAGAAACTTAAGTTTCTTAGTCTAATTTCTACTCAAAATCTAAATAATACCGTATTATTCAAGGATGAAAATCACCCAAACATTCCCTTAGCAATTAAAATAACATGTAATATCCTTACCAAGGATTGGGAGGCCCCAAATGTTCTGGTCACTTCAAGACTGTCCTGGCCAATCACCAGTTTTCCTCTTGCTCACTCTCCTTCAGCCACAGTGACTTTCTTTCTAACTTCATTAGGTTCTTTGATCAGTATAAGTAAAACGTTTCCAGTTTGAATTTTCTGAGTGCTAGATATAGGTACAAAATCACTCTCTTCTGCTGCAATTTCCTGCATCAGGGACACTTCTCTCCCAGATCTTCACATTGTTGTTTTATCTTCTTAAATACCTTTATAATTGGCCCAATGACTTTTCTTACTTGAAGCTTTAACTGAGCACATAGATTCTCCCCCTTCCCTTCCTAGTAATTTCCAATTCTGCTACCCTAATTTATTTCCTTCATGTAGTTTTACCACTTTCTGAAATTATATTATTAGTCATTGTGTCTAATAAACAGCAGGGTTTATTATAAATGATTGTTTTTTGTTTTTTTTAATTTGTCTTTGTCTTTTAAAAATTTTTTTAAATTTGTCATTATTATTTCTGTGGTGACTAGAATTATGTGGCCCTGTGCTCATAGGTAACAGTTAAATAAGGATTAATTACTGAATAACACTTTCAAGAGCCAAAATGAGAATGCTTACAGATTTGCAGATCATTACCAGAAAAGGATTCAAGATAGTAAAACTATCAAAGTAGGATATGAATCTTAGCAAAAGGCTGTCTCACAGTAGGTCTGAGAAGGCCTAGACTAGAGTTTTACTTATCCTCCTTCTGTAAGGGTTTCAAGGATACAGTTTTTTCTTGCAGATCAGGAACCACTGATGTATGTATAGAATTTCTCAGAACCAGGAAGCTCAAAAGGGAGTCTATGTAGGGGTTTCTTATATCATGCTTGGCACTTAGGCATATTTTTACTATGTAACTATTCCCAACAGCAGAGCCCTCTGGGTGTCACACAGAAACCATGTGCAAATCATCAGTCTCACTGTTAGCAATAAACAATGCTGATAAGCTGGTACAAACTGCCTTGAAACTCCTGAGATCTGTGGTTACAAACAACATTACTTCCAGCACATTTCACTCCAAGCCTAGGGATTAGAGTCATGCAGGTGCATTTCTCATTTCGATGGATCCGTTCTGGCTAATTCCAGGCCTGTTGTAATTAACCCTACCAGCAGAAGCACATAATCGGATATCTGTGTGTGTTTGTGTGTAAAATGGGTGCGTGTGTGTGTGTGTTTAATGAATGAATAACTACTTCTAGCTTTGCCTTAAAAACCTGGTTTGAAATTTTAATCCTAATTACCTCCAAATAGAAAATAAACATAGGTATATTTCATTCTAATGGCAGAGATGACTATCCACCAAAACTTGTACTTCCCCTGCCATAGATCAGTGCCTTGATCTGTTTGGGCTGCTAGTACAAAGCACCATAAAATGAGTAGTTTATAAACAACAGAAAATTATTTCTCAAGTTCTGAAGGCTGGAAGATCAAGATCAACGTACCTGTGGATTCACTATCTGGTGAGGGCCAGTTTCCTCTTTCACAGATGGTGCCTTCTCACTGTGTTCTCACAGGATGGAAGGGGCAAGGCAGCTCTCTGGCGCCTCTTTTATGAAGGCACTAATCCTATTCATGAGGGCTCTACCCTCATGACTTAATCACCTCCCAAAGGCCACACCTACTAATAGTGTCAACTGGTTATTAGATTTCAATACATGAATTTTTCGTGGAAACAAATATCTGGCACTACTGAGTACTCACTGGGAAGCAGCTGTCACTCCTAGGGGTACATTTTCAAATCCTCACCAAAGTCATGCGAGAGAAAGTGAGTTACATATTGTTTGTAGGCTGAGTGAATTAAGAAGCAGGCATAGCTTTCCACTATATGTTCTTCCCTTTACTTTTCACCTTTAGAGTACCCAGAGGCCCTAGCAGGTGGACAGATCATAAGATGGAAACTGACACTGACTAGGAACACTCACATGGTGCTGTTACATGTTCAAGAAACGTGCTAAATCTATTGTGCTAAGTCACTGAAATGTTGGGCTTTACTACTTATGGGAGCTAGTGTTCCTTAGACAATACTATTCCTATTTCAAAAAGACAACAATAAAAATGAGACTATACTACTCAGTTTTTCTCTGATGACTACATTTCACTTTATATATTTGCAGAATTGCAGCACAATGCTTTTTCATGTAATAATATGTAAATTTCAATTCAGTAATCTATTTTTATAATTTGTTGGACACATGTCACATATGCTTCTCTTGATATAATTTGTTTTATTTAATTTAACATAATATTTTATGACTATTATTTGCTTGTGCATGTGTGCTACATTTAATGCATTTAAGAGATTTTACAACATAAACCAAAAGAACAGTCTCGTATTTCTATATCTATGCTTTATATATTGCCTACGAACAAAACCTTAAAAATTGGTTTTTTAACTTTTTTGAAGGACATTTTAACCATGGATTTCTCTCTGTCCTAATTATAAATATTCAATTTATGTGACACAGAGTTTGAAATGCATTACTAATCTATATTATATTTTTCTCTAAATACTCCAGGAAAAGGTTAAGTCTTGCACAAGCTGCATAAAATTTTCTGTTGATTTGTAGAGATTTACGTATCATATGTTTATCATTATTATCTGTTTTGGTCATTTTTGAATTGGATATTTATTTTGTGAAACAACCAGCACTTAATTAACTGTGCGTAAACCAGTAACTCCACACAGCTCTGCAATTACACAACATGTAATTTGTTATAAATAAACACTACTACTAGGTTCTCAGTAAGGTTACTTTATTACAGTAATTTTTATTGTTTAATATAGTACACAACATTTAAATCTAACTTTCAAATATTCAGTAAAGCATTGTAAGTCATTCATCACCAAATCAGTCTTTTTAAATTTATTTACTTTTACTTTTTATTTATTTATTTTGAGACAAGCTCCCAGGCTGGAGCACAATGGCATGATCATGGCTCATTATAGCCTCAACCCCCTAGGCTCAAGCAATCCTCCCAACTCAGCCTCCTGAGTAGCTGAGACTATAGGCCACATCTGGCTAAGTCTTTTATTTTTATTTTTTGTCCATATGGAGATTCACCATTTTGCCTAGGCTGGTCTCAAACTCCTGGGCTTAAGCAATTCTCTTACCTCAGCCTAATAATCTTAGTAAAGTTTTTTGTATCTCTAGCGCTGCTTTTTTTCTCTAAAATTAGTATGACAATTTGATGCATGTAATTTAATCACTTGAATGAAATAACCTGTTCAATATTTTATCAAAAAGGAAAGTAAACATGCATGTTATAAATGTTTTAGATACCCCCAAAATAACGTTTTAATAGAATAAAAGTGATACACAACTTTAACATCCACTCCTTGTATTACTTTTTGAAAGTGTTCCTATTCTCTTCATTTTATTCATATCTGTGCTACCCTTTCCCTAAAGGCATTCAGTAATGAGATTCTGTTAAAGGTGGTAACAAAATCATTTCTGCTAAAGAGGAATACCAATCAAAATTTTTGTACATGCATTCTAGTTTCAAAAATTATCTGTCAAACAAAATGGCAGTGCTTATAAATCTAGCTAGTACCAAATTTTGAATGACAATGCAGTGTTTTGTTTTGGATCATTTTACTTTTGCATCACAGTACATGCTAAATTCACCTTCATCTCCAGGACCTTTTTTCTTTCAGTAGAAGTAGAGAAAGTCGCATGGTTTTTGTATACTTTTGGCCAAATTAAGTTGAATGCTCTTTGTGAACAAAATCTACAAATAGAGGCCAGGCACAGTGGCTAACGCCTATAATTCCAGCACTTTGGGAGCCCGAGATGGGTGGATCACTTGAGGTCAGGAGTTTGAGACCAGCCTGGCCAACATAGTGAAACCCCATCTGTAATAAAAATACAAAAAAAAAATTAGTTGGGTGGCGTGGCGTGTGCCTGTAATCCCAGCTACTCAGTAGGCTGAGACAGGAGAATCACTTGAATCTGGGAGATAGAGATTGCAGTGAGCTGAGATCGCACCACTGCATTCCAGCCTAGGTGATAGAGGAAGATTCCGAAAATAATAATAATAATAATAATAATAATAATAATTCACTAATAAGAATTCTCTTTGTGAACAAAATTCACAAATATGAATAAAATAGTTCTAGGTAATATCTTTTTAATTCACAAACATACATTGAAAAGAAAAGTAAAATTAGGGATACTTAAAGCAGATTGGAGACTCACTAATACTTATACAGCTTTCCTTATGAATTAAGTTCTGTAGTAAAGAACTGCTGAGAGAAAAATATCAGAAGTGGTTGTTCTTATTTCTTCAGTGGAGAAATGGCTTATGTTTACCTTCAAAATTGGTACGGTGAATTCAGTACGGTTATTTCTCTCAGGAAAAAAAAATAAAATGCATGACCATATTAATATCTGTGAATTTCTCTAGAAGTAGACGATCAAACCAAAATCTCTCCCAACAACTTGAGGGTGGTATTAATTAGCTATGTGGTTTAGGTTTTTCTAATTGATAATTTATATGTTTATTGTTATTTTTAAGTATAGTGAACAATAAGATTTGAAAGGAAATTTCTTTTTTCTTTTGAGACAGTGTCTCGCCCTGTCGCCTGGGCTGAAGTGCAGTGGCGCAATCTCGGCTCACTGCAACCTCCACTTCCCAGGTTCAAGCGATTTGCTTGCTTCAGCCTCCCGAGTAGCTGGGATTACAGGTGCCCGCCACCACGCCCAGCTAACTTTTTGTATTTTTAGTGGAGACAGGTTTCACCATGTTGGCCAGGCTGGTCTCAAACTCCTGACCTGTGATCAGCCTCCTAAAGTGTTGGGATTACAGGCGTGAGGCACTGCGCCCAGCCGGAAGGAAAATTCTTTACTGAGCACAGACATAATAGTGAGTAACAGGAATTAAACATCAATTGCACTCATGGTCTACACCAACCTTGGTTCTTAATGTCAGCAGCCAAATTCTAATGATACCATTTTTGAGTCCAGAGGCACAATAGCCTGGAGGAATATGGAGTGATGAAAGGGGTAGGAATAGGAAAAGCAAGTCTGGACTCCAAACTGGATTTCCCATAAGACTTTAATAAAACGAATAGAATAGAACAATAATGAAATTAAAAAGTAACTAAGAAGAGGTCCCCATTATTCATAGTTTTGAGCAATTTCAGACATCTTCTGCTGTAGTTGCAATATAATTTAATTCCTTAGAAGGCTTCAACAACTCATTCTAAAAAAACAAATCGTAAATCTAAAAAGTAAGAAGAAAAAGCTGTACTTTGTGAATTGAATAAAAGTAATACAATATGATATCTTTTTGTTTTACAATGGCTGAGTCATAATGTATTCATATAGGTAAAGTTGTCTATTTAACCCTGAATTAAGAGTTAAATATTAATTGGTAAAGACATTCAAGCATAAATTCATAAAATATATACTGGCACCAAGGCGAACAAATTAATATTAGTATTATTAATTTGCAAAATTGTATGCTATCAATGGCCCAGGACAACAGCATTTTGTGACTTAGTCTTTTTACAACCACTAAGCCTACCATCACGGTGGCTACACCCGTAATCACAGTACTTTGGGAAGCCGCGGTGGGGGGATCATTTGAGGTCAGGAGTTTGAGACCAGCCTGGTCAACATGGTGAAACCTCATCTCTACTAAAAATACAAGAAAATTAGTTGGGCATGGTGGCATATGCCTGTAGTCCCAGCTACTCAGAAGGCTGAGGTCAGAGAATCTCTGGAACCTGGGTGGTAGAGGTTGCAATGAATTGAGATTGTGCCACTGTGCTCCAGTATGGGCAACAGAGTGAGACACTGTTTCAAAAAATAAATAAATATATAAAATTTAAAAAAAGCTTCTATGAGAAAAATTATACTTTGATTAGCTTTTAATTTAAATGTGAAGATGTATAGGAAAGACTTCAGAAATTATGAAGATCAAAATAAATGTAAAGTATTTATTATTATATATTATTGATATTCCTACATGTAATATTTTTAACACTCTCTTTTTTACTAAATCCTTACAATGGTCATGTTATGTAACAATAAATATCAAAGTTTTTTATTCTTACATAATGTTACTTAAATTTTGAATTTGGTATGTGTTTGTTGGGGAATATTACAAAATGGGAGATGAATAGCAAGAAAAATTATGATTATCTATAATTTTTTAATACTATGCCAAAATGAGTATATGCAATTATATTTATTGGTTATAATAATAAAATACTGGAAACAACAAAGCTGAATTTCTTCATCTCAAAGATAGTAGTTCTACATTTTCAGTTAATAATTCAACAGATGTATGTCCACCACCAATTACTATGAGATTTACTATGAATTCAAGAAAGAATAATGTGATTGAAAAAATTCTAAATTAAGTTCAGAACATATCGATTCTGATTTGCTTAGTAACCAGTCATAAAATTCTGCTACATTTACTTAGATTCTTGAAGTCTCTGTTACCTCATTTATTTGTTCATTGAACAAACGTCTTTTAAATAATTACCTTTGACAGGCACTCATCTGGAAAGTGAGGT